TATTATCTCAGTAGTCAAGAGTTAAGTAATTTAATTCTCAATGTCCCAGGCAACTCTGTAAGACTACAAGCTTTAGAGCAATTGCTGATTTGTGTTGGTAGAGGGAATTTTATCCCTGGAAGCTCTGTACACATATGAAACCTCAGCCCAAACCCCTCAAATTTTTGAAAATAGTAACAATGATAATTACATTACAAAGGAAGTTGAGCTCATCATTCTCTGCCCCCTTTCTACGTGTTTCTTTAGCAATTCTAGAGGATCCTTCCTTTTCACACAACAAATTAGAGAATCAGGGAATATGAATGGTGAAAGGGTACTTCAGCACTCATCTGATCCAATCCTAGCAGGATCTTTTCTGTTGTGAATTTACCTAGTAGCAGAGAAGTTCTCTTAACCTTTCTTAGTGCCATAGACTCCCTTCTCAGAAGAATATTTTTAAATAACTGAAATGCTTAATTTCAGTTAGAAGTCAGTAAAATCAAAGATGTAATTTTTTTCCCTTTTTTTTTTTAACCTTCCTCAAAATCCTTGGCTTTTCTGACTGGCATGGTGGGGTGATAAGACATGAGATGGTCCCACTGTCCCCATTTAAGGACCTCCTGAAATCTGTCCACAGGTGCCAAGTTAAGAACTTCTGCTATATAGTGTGACTGCATGGCATGCATCAATAAGCTTCATGCCAACTGAAAAGCATATTAATATGGGATAGCGAGAGGCTTGAAACTTGGCAACTGAAGTAAGAGGAGCAAGGAAGTGAAGGCGGATGAGCAGCAGTTGTATGCCAAGAGTAAACAGCCAAGAGCTATGAGGTGGCAGACGCACAGTTTCATTTGACTGCTTCCCATGGGTTGACATCCCAGGACCTGGGGCTCATTTCCTAGCCACCCCAACAAACACTAGAGATGAGACTTCTCAACAGGCATCCGAGTTCCTAACAAATGGTATTTCTGCTGCAGTTCCACATTTATTTGTGTTCGAGGTCCGGTTCAAGTACACACATCGATCAATCAACAAGTACATATTAAGTACCCACTAGAGACTCCAGATATTGTCCTTGGTGCTGGGACAAAAATGAAGGACCCTGCCCTCAAAGAGCTTATATTTTATCTGTGGAAACAACATGAACACTCATGATGAGGTACAAAATATGCATTAAGTAATTTGAGTGGAGGAAGGGGTTCATATCTAGGAGTGTCAGAGAAGTTCTCATTTAAGAAGCAGCTTTTGGGCTGAGCTCTGAAGGAGGGAGACAAAGGATTCCGACAGGTAAAGCTAAGGAGAGTGCATTTGAGGCCGGAGGGAAAAGACTACAAAGGTACAAAGATAGGAGATGGAATACCACACGTGAGAAACAGCAAGGCTAGATTGTAGAATATCTGAGAGCAATGGGTATGTAATAAATCAAGATAGGGAGATGGAAATCAGGGTATAAGGGTTTCACATACCAAATGGAGTCAAGCCACATTCTTGTACAACCACAAAAATTTCCTGGGGCACCAACTCTCCTTCTCAGAAATAGTCTATAGAATTCTTGTCTTTAGCCCTAGGGCTTTCTTCTTTACTCTTCTCTCTCTCTCTCTCTCTCTCTCAAAGCTTCATTATCTGAATTTATTTTTAAGTAAGTTTTTCTTGATATCTTCTGCTTCTTATATCATTATAGCTATCCCAAGGATCCCTTCCTTTTTCCTTCCCATAGAACAGACAGTAAAATTTTTAGAGAGGAAAAAAAAAGCAGACCCAATTGATATATTGAAAAAAGTCCAAAAATATGTACAATATGGAACTCTTGTAGACCTCCCAAATCCATAAAGAGGTGGGTTGGGATTGTCCTCTCATATCTCTTCATTCAATTCCTGTTTGATCTTTATAATTTTGTTACATTTACTTTTGATTTTTTTGTAGGTTATTGTTCTTTCTATTTACATTGTTGTAGTTGCTTTGCATGTTGTTTTCTTGGTTCTGCTTACTTCGCTCTACATCAGTTCATATGGATATTTCCATGCTTCTCTGTGTTCACACACATAATTTATTACAGCAGAATAATATTCCTTTATATTTACATCCCACAATTCGATGAGCCATTTGACGAGCATCTACTTAGTTTCCAATTCTTTGCCACTACAAAAAGTGGCAGTATAAATATTTTGGTGTTAGGTAGGGACGTTATTATTAACAGCCTCTTTGGGGTATAAGCCCAGTAGCAAAGTCTCTGGTTTCAGAGGCTTAGACATTTTAGTCATTTTTTTAATCATTCCAAATTGCTTTACAAAGTGTTATACCATCTCACAGCTCCACCACCAACGTATTAGTGTGTCTAATCTTCCGTGACCCTTCCAACATTGGCTACTGCCATTTTTTGTCATTTTTCCCAATACTACCAAGGTGTGAGGTGAAACCTCAGGGTTGCGTTGATTTGCATTTCTCTTATTATTAGTGATACAGAACATTCTTTCATGTGGTTATGAATACTCTGCAATTCTTTTAAGAACTGTTTGAGAACTTTTGGGAATTCTTTGTCCATATTTTTTGATCACATCTTTTGTGGGATGGCTAACATATTAAAATACATGTGTGTGTGTGTATGTGTGTGTGTGTGTGTATACATGTATTTATTAATTGTTCATATATCTTGTAAATCAAACTCTCATCCAAGGTATTTGATACAAGGATTTTTCCCCTTTCCCTTCTTATCCTAAGTGCATCAATTTTGCCTATGCAAAAGATTTTTAATATCAAGGAATCAAAGTTATTCCATTTTAATTTGATATATCTCCTATCCATTGATGTGAGAGAGATATGATCTGTTTCTCTTCTAATGTTTTATAGTATAATCTTTAATATTAAGGTCACATGTCCACTTAGAATGTATTGTAGGATATGGTGTAGGCTGGGTATTGGCATAAGCCTAATTTCTGCTAAAATGCTTTCTAGTTTCCCTGGCAGTTTTTATCAAACAAGAAATTTTTTTCCCCAGGTAATTCATGTTTTCTACTTTATCAAACACTGGGTTATTGACTTCTATTGCTTCTAAATCTAGTCTGGGCCGTTCTCTTGATCTGGCTCTCTATTTTTAACCAATACCTGATGATTTCGATGATTGCTGCTTTATAATAATTTGAGGTTTAGAATTGTTATTCTCCCCTTTGCCTCTGCTTGTTGACATCATTTTCCTTGATGTTTTACATCTTTTATTTTTGTGAATGCATTTTGCTATTATTTTATCAAGTTCTATGAAGTATTCTCTTGGTAATTTGATTGACATAGTATTAAAAGTATAAATTAATTTTGGTAGTATTATCATTCTTATTATACTGGCACAGCCTACCCACAAGCACTGAATATTCCACCAACTATTTAAATTGTTCTCTATTTCCTTAAGGAGCCCTTTGTAATTGAATCTATATAAGTCTTTTGTGTGCTTTAGTAGGTCGATCCCCAGATATATTATGCATTTTGTAGTTTTTTTTGGAATAGGGTTTTCTTTTCTATTACTGCTTCTTGTGTTTTGCTATTATAATACAGAAAATAAAAACATTGATTTTTGAAGATTTATTTTTGTAGCCTGCAATTTGCTGAAGCTATTATCTCAATTAATATCTTCGTTAAATCCATAGGATTTCCCAACCTATCATATCATCAGCAAATGGGGATAGTTTACCTCCTCTTCACCTATCTTTATACCTTTAATTTCTTTCTTTTGTCTTACTGCTGTTGCTAGCATTTCCAGAACCATATCAAATAACAGTGAGGAGACTGGGTGTTCTTGCTTCATTCCCAGAATCAATTTTTTTTACTTACTGGAAAAGGTTCTCGTGTATCCCTGTAACATATGATACTTACTTTGGGTTTTAGATAAATGCTTTATATGATATTTTAAAAGGTCCCTCAATGCCTATACTTCATAGGGTTTCTAGCATAAAAGAGTGTTATATTTTATCAAAGGTTTTTTTCCTGCATCTACTGAGATGATCATGTGGTTTTGGATGTTTTGGTTTGTAAATATAATTAAGTAGGCTGATTGATATTCCTAATATGGGACCATCCTAGCATCCCTAGCATAAATCACACTTGGTCATAATGAATGATTTCTTGGATTCTCTATTAATACTCACTGCCCTATCTTAGAATGAAAGGCACTGCATAACCTTGGCTTTCTGTACTCTCAAACCTACCTGGCCTCTCCGAGATAGAGATCAGTAATACTCCATCCTAGATCACCTGTCCCACTTCTTCCTCTCTCATCATCATTCTATTCCAGTACTGAATTACAGCAACCACTCTCTTTTTCATTTTAATCTTGTCACCACATACTCCTGGCCATAAGAGTGAACTTTCTGGGGGTTATTTTCAAGGGAAAGAATACTTATAGAAATAATTACAGTCCAGATAATCCTGATCTGGAATATAGATTCTTTTATGTAATATATAAAAAGGGATCAAAAATAATTCTACCCAAATCCAATGAGATGATTTGCAAGCTTCCTCTGTCTTTTATTAAGTCAGATATTAAGGAGATTTTCAAAAACAATGTGTAAAAAAACAACATGTAAAACAATGTTACTCTTCTCATTTTTTTTGTTTTGGAAAATATCATCTTTCACAAAAATTTGTTTATGTTAACACATAATGGCTTTATGATTATTTTAAATGAAGAAATATTGTTAAAATTCATCAGTTTTCATTTCCACTATACTAAACGTTGACAGATATAACCCATAAACAAATGTTCTTTGGGGTTCTCAATTTTTAAAAGTTAAAAGAATCCCAAGATAAAAAGTTTGAAAACCCCTGTTCTAAGCCATTTTGGCATACTCCATCTACATTCTCTCCCCTGTAGTCTGCACACCATATATTTTCAACTTGGCCCTTGTATCTTAAACCCTTCAGGAAAAAAGCTAAGCTAACTTCTTAGAGCCCACTCTGTTCAGGCACTGAGCTAAGCGCTAGGGCGAAGAGCATCTGTCTTAGGTGAATACCAAGATTAAAAGGGATTCTCTTACAGAATTCTCCTTTAGTTGCAGCCCTTCCCCGTTAGGAAGAGAGGACCTTCGCTTGGCAGATGAATTTCTGTTTGGAGTTGAGGTAATGACTCCTGGCTTCTTCTTCACAGATAGCACCTCACAACTGGCCTGATCTTCATTGTGTGTACTCTTTCCTGCATTGATCACTCTGAAAAAAAGGGGAAAAAAAATCCAGTTGGATAAATGGTTTCACTAGGAGTTCACAGTCCTTCTAAATCAAACACTCAATGTAATTCCAATCTACCAAAATGCTTTCTGCCAAAACAGAAAAAGAAAAAAAAAGCATGGAAGCACCCCTTCCCATGCAGGGTATTTTTATACTCTGGAATGAGAAAACCCCAGGGCTTTCCCATGGCATTATACAAATTAGGAGCTTGACACATATGGCGCCTGCTATAAGCAATACCTAAGAGATGAGGTCAATAGCCCCAATTCATTCCAGTCCAAACCGGGGAGACGGACAATCATTCTTTTAAGGTTAACTTGGTACTTGAAATTTTTTTTTCCAATTACTTGAAGATGAATAGATTGGCTCATGGAATTCTCTCTGTCCAGTTTCTCCAAGATTAAAGAAGAGGCCACCATTAATTCTACCTCCTACACTACAAATCAGTAAAATATAGCCTACTCTAAGACCCAGGGGGAACACACAACCATATGTTATCACTGATATGCTGTGCATCACACACAAGACTAAGTAAAATTGGCATTCACTCTTTCCAAAGTGCTTGCACACAACATTCTTTCTCCATCACATGGGCAATGCTTTACACTTTGCCATGAGCCATTCTGTTTGGAACACTGGCACTTTGATGCTGCCATACTCATAATACTTAAGTGAGGTTCAGGTTGGCAACTCATCATGAAAATGATTCCTTATCCTTCAATTGTCTTATTCTAGAATCAGCTTGGACTGAGATAATAAAGCGACACCAAGTTAGCCAAGGAAAAGGCATCCCCTCCTTCAATAGGAATAGGTACAGGGATAGATGTAAAGTTTAAGTAAGGATAGAAAAAGGTTCTGTAAGATTTGGGGGGAGGAGTTGCATTTAAATAGGAGGAATCGGTGGAAAACCAATTTAATGGCCTATGTCTAATATACAGTATGCAATATACAATGTCTCCTAACAGTTTTCGTGAATCAAACAATGGCTCTTCTTATAAGTATTAATTTACTTCAAAAGCTGGCTGGTTGTCCTTTGTGCTCCAAAACACCAAAACAACATCACTATGTTGGGGTCCAGGTACAGTATGTCTGACTTCAAAAGCTATAACTAGATACATTCACTGTTGTATTACATTAAACATAGCCCTCCCAAATAGGAAGTGATATTTAGACATAGCATGGTTTTGGGGGACACGTGACAGGCAAGGTGTGGTGTTTTATTTTTTGTTTTTTTTTTCTGGCAAATCATCCAGGTAGAAGCCAGAAATTCCTTGCTAACATAAACTTCCTAACTAGGGTTTGAAAAAGGGATGGCAAGACCACGTATATACCCAGAGGCCTGGCCTAACTAGCAAAACCTCTAATGCTATTCTTGGAGAAAAGATGCGGGCTGATGAGTAGTAAAATCAGGTAGATCTGGATTTGTGTGAACAGCTGGATCAAAAGAGTCATCACTAATGGTGCTATATAAAAGTGGAAGAAAATCTGCAGTGGAGAGCCCAAAGGCTCTAAGCTCATTGGTCCTACACTATTTAAAACATTTGGATAAAGGCGTAGATGGTGTGTTCATCAATTTTGCTGATGACATAAAACTGGAAAGGTTTGCTAGCCCACTGGGTGACAGTCAGAACACAAAAAGATCTTTACATATCAGAACAATGGGTTGAACTGAATAAGGTGAAATATAGTAAGGTAAATATAAAATATTCAGGTTAAAAAACACAACTTCACAAGAGTAAGGTGGTGGGGTAATGGCTAGACAACAATTGAGCCTTAAGAAGATATGGAGGTTTTCATGTATTACAAGATATATAGGAATAAATAGCGTAAGCAAGCATAGTGGATAGAGCACTGGGCCTACAGTCAAAAAGACCTGAGTTCAAACCTGGCCTAAAACACTTACTAGCTAATGTGACCCTGAGCAAGTCACTTAACCTCTGCCTGCCTCAGTTTCCTCATCCCTAGAAATGGGATGATAATAACCCTACCACCTTATAGGGTCATTGTCAGGAACAAATGAGATAACACATGTACTTTGCATTTATGTCCCCTCAAAGGGGGACATAAATGTGTTAGCTACTGTTAGTGTAATAAGGTAAGTAAAAAAGGTAAGGCAGCCTTGGGCTGCATTAAGAGAGGCAAAGCATCTGATAATAGGGAAGTGACCGCCTTGCTCTAACTTGCTTCTGTCAGATCTCATCTGTAATATTTTGTTCTGGAAGCTTGAGAAACCACATTGCAGGATGCTGATAAAATGCCTTACATCATATGCTATAATAAAAGCTCTAAACTCATATATGACCATCATAAGAAGTCATATCCTTAAGCCAACATGAGGAGAAAGAAAGGTGATATCTTTCACTACTATGGGGGAAGAGTTCTTGACCAAACAAGGGATAAACATAAAAACATAAAATGGGCAATTTTGATTTCAGCAAACTGAAAAGATTTTGCACAAAAAATTAACATAGTCAGAATTAGAAGGCAAACTAGGGAAACAATCTTGGCAGCAAATTTCTCTGATAAAGGTCTGATATCCAAGATACACAGAGAATTGATACAAATACTTAGGGACAAGAGCCATTTCCAAGTATCAAAGGTTATGAATGATTTTTCAAAAAAAAAAAAGATGAAAGCTATCACACTATATTAAAAATAGTCCAATTCACCAATAACGAAAAGATAAATGCAATTTGTAGAAAGGAGGTGCCGGAGGGATTGTGGGAGAATAGGACACTAATATGGTGGAACACTGAATTGGTTGGATCATTCTGGGAAACAATTTAAAATTATACCTCAAAGTCACTAAATTATTCATACCCTTTGACACAGCTATGGTACCATTACTAGGCATATACTACAAAGAAATGAAAGACAGTACTCATATGAACAAAAATAATAACAGTGGCTTTTTTTTTTTATTGTAGCAGAGATCTAGAAACAAGTATGTGCCCCATGTTACATGGATGTAATATATCAAAAGAAATTACAAAAGGCAAGAATTCAGGGAAACTTGGGAAGGTTTGTATAAAGTCACATAGAGTGAAGTAAGCAAAATAACTATCTCTACAACGTCTACAATAGCTGAAAGGAAACCAACTTTGAAAGACCTTTGAACCCTGATCAAGGCAGTGACCAATTTTAACTGAAGAAGACTGACGATAAAAAGCACCGCCTCCCACCTCTTTGTAGAGAGGTGATGCAGAACAAGACATACATTTTCACATACAACCAATATGATGATATGTTTTGTACTTACTACTACACTTATTTGTTATGAGAGAGCTTTTATCTGATTGGAGGTGGAAGGAATTGTATGGAGAGGAGCCAAGTACTGATAGTGATACTAAGAAAAAATGAAAAAGGTCAATGAAACATTTTTAAAAATCCAAAGGAGAGGGGGAAAAAAATTAAGAGGGTCATAGGTAAAATAATTTTGTTGCTTATTTAAATTTAATTTTACTTAAATTTAATGTAATTAAATACCTAATTTAAAAATTGTACATTCTATAATGTAATATTTTATATGATTGGAAATGTATAAGTTACATTAGATTGCTTACTATGGGGGAGGGAAGAAAGGGTAGGATAGATAAAATTTGGAACTCAAAACTTTAAAAGAAAATGTTAAAAACTTTTAACATGTAATTGGAGTAAAATATTATTTTAAAAAATTATACATTTCAGAGATTCACAATTTCATATACAATCTTTTTTCTGTTCTTCTTGGAATGCTGAAATATTTGTTCATATTTGTTAATTGTCAAATTAAATTTTTAAAAAATAATTTATAAAAGATCGATGTTAGTAAGCTGGAACTTTCAGGGGAGGGCAACCAGAATTCCTGACATAATGTGAATCAGATGAAAAAACTAGGAATATGCAGCATGGAGAAGAGAAGAACTTGGGTGGGAGGGAGAGAATTAACACATAAGTCATTCTTCAAGAGTTCAAACAGGTTTTTGCTTAGTCCAAGACTGCAGAACTTGGAACAATAAGAAAATAAGCGGTAAAGAGACAGCCTTAAATTTGAAAAACTTTTTTATGCTTAGAACTGCCCCAAAGTGGAATGCCCAAGTGGAAGGTGGTAGCTTTCCCTTCACTGAGCTCCTGAAGCCAAGGCTCAATGACCATCTGTCAGTGAGGCTGTAAAGGGGGTTCCTGTTCAGGTATATACTGGTGTAGATGACTCCTGGGAGGTATCTTCCAACTATGATCCTAGGATCCCCATCTCACACTTGCTCCACTAACGCAACAATTCCTCCAGCACAGAAACCAGTGACAACAGGTAAATACTGTTTTAGTTCTCAAATGAAAATGGAATAAATAATATCATAATAAATAAATAGGAATAAATAAAAATGAGGAAATAAATAATAAAGGAAATAAATAAAATAAATAGGAAATAAAAAGTAATAAATAAAATAAATAGGAAATAAAAAGGTATGGTGTCTCATAACACTGGACTGGAATCCAGAATAATCTGGAATCCCTAGGGTATGCCATGAACATGCTATGGAACCCTGGGTAAGTCACACTCTTTCTTGGGCTTTGGTTTGCTCATCTACAAAATGAAGTTTCTTCTAGTCCTTCTACCTGCAAAGTCCCACATTTTGAAATCAATCAATATTTACTAAGTACCTCCTATGTGCCAGGCACTATGCTAAGCACTGGGGATACAAAAAAAAGCAAAAGACAGGCCCTGCCCTCAAACAGCTTACAGCCTAATGGGTCTTTAAAAGAATGCCCACAAACTGAGGTGTGGTTAAAACGAGCTGTGATAGATGAATGAAAAATAATAGTACCCTACTCTCAAATGATGAATATAAAGAATTTGGAGAAGCATGATGGGAAGGGTGCAAACTGATTCAGAAGGAAGTGAGCAGAACCAGGATAACTTGTACATATGTACAAGTGTAACAATGGAAATAGAAGAACAGCAACCCCACCAAACTGAATCCTGTTCTAATTATATTAGCCAA